CCGTCCTTGTTAAAGTCATTGCCTCATCCTGTCAGTCAGAGCAAACACTGGGACTCCTCCGTGAGCTCTGCCACATTCCAATGCTAACAGCCGTGTGGCTGTGGCCTGGGCCTCTGAAGCGACATGACATGCCTCTTCCAGGATGCCCTTGGGCCCTCTCCCACTGCTCCCTCTCTTTACAGGCAGGATCTTTATTGGGTCTCCCTGTCACCAGCAGGCGTGGATATGGGTGACACTCTCCTTTAAGGAGACCTGGTTAGGAACACGGTGCCCACATCCGTGTTCTGTGTGGATGCTCGTGTTGGGGTATTCCTCATTACAAACATTGCTTCCAAGTTAAAGTCCACAGACTCCTTCATGGTGCCATGAATGCTTGCCTTGTTAAAGACTTGGGCCACCTCTTTTCCTGCTGCCAGAGTCACAGGAATACTGGTCTATGTCAAAGCTGTCCAAAGACGTTGACTGTAGTAACAGTCCCTCTTAGCCCTGTGTTATACGTCATTGAAATAGCAAATGGCTGACAGGTGGGATGCTCTGGAAACGAGGGGACTTTGTGGAACAAACAAGTGTCCAAGAGGCTCTGGACCATGGGGACAGCCCTCACAGCTGTGCATAGCTACTGAAGCCCTCACAAGACAGCATCACACTTGGGTCCTACCGGCAGTGGGGTCCAGTGACAGTCATTCCTCAGTCTCTTGTCAGATGCCAGGCACCTCCCCAGAGTCCTCAGTTACTTGGGGGGGGCCCTTAGGATCACCCAGTTGCAGATGGTGTGATGTCCTGTTCGTGCTCCTGACTGATGGAGCCCGGGATAATGTCCTGTATAAGGTCATCCGAGCAAATCACACGTGTCCAAACAACAGGCAGCCATCTTAGCACCACGTGCCCAGGCCAACAAGTGGTCCTATCTTTAATGTCTTAGAAACTATTGGGCCATTGCCTAAATATTGTCACCTTCATGATTAAAAAAAAAATCTAGTAATAACTTGTCTCATGGGTTCTCAAAATATAAATCAAAATCACTTCCATTTCATTTAATGTTGACTATGCCGGATCTTAAGGTCATGTTCCTTGGCTCCCAAGGAGCAGAGACACTGGTGGGACCCAGGACATACACTTAGCTTTCTAAATACGTGCTGGCAGGCTCTAAGAAAGGCATGCCATAGAACTTTATTCTTCCTGATGGGTCCCCATTTGGATCACCTGTTTAACTGAGAGACATACATAACCTTTTAAGTAACTCCTTTACAAATTCCAGAGCCTAGAGTCTGCCCTGTGACGGGAATTAACCCACCCATAAACATTTCAGTCTCTTTTTCCCCCCATCTCATGAAGGCTGGAAGGACGATGCATGTGCCACCCTGGGATCTGCTACCCATAGGTCATTCCACAGGTCCTAGGGCTGCCAAGCTTCCATCCAAACGGAAGTGCCAAGTGCAGCTGCACGGTTTCTGTCAGCTGCTGGTCTGCATGTTGTCACTGTTTTACTTCTTCACTTATACAATTTCATTTCAGTTTTTGAGACAGTCTTACTCCCTAGACCAGGCCGGTGGGGAACTCATTATGGAACTCAGACAGGCCTCAAACACATGGTGGTCCTCCTGCCTCAGCCTCACAGATGTGAGCCACGACACCTGACTTTTTTCAGTAGTTTGTAACAGACTCAAATCCTTCCCATAAGTCATTCATTGGTTTAATCACACACGGTAAACATGGATACTTACAGTAGTAACCTAGTGAGTACCCTCTCAAAAAGGATTTCTTAAAGCTGGTTTAGTAGTGAATGTCTCTGGTCCTAGAAGTCTTGAGGCAGAGGCAGGAGGATATCTGTGAATTCTAGGCTAGCTAGCACTACACAGTGAGACCCTGTCTCAAAAGAAGGATTCCTTAAGTCCCATCTTTCAGATAGCACCGCCCTGGCTCAGGAGCTCAGGACATCATCTCAGCTTCACCATCTGCGATGTCTTTATCCTCCCCCCACCCCCACTCCCTGCCAGCCAAGCCCACAGACCGCTTTCCCAGCCACTCTAACAGGACGGGGGCATTTTTTGTTTTTCTTTCTTTTCTATTAGGGATTGGATTCCGCTTCTCCGCTCACCATCTGCTTAGTCCAGGATTCTGGTATATTGCTTCCTCTCTGCCCAGAAGTCCACCCCTACACTCCCACACTCAAGTGACAGACTGCTCGAGGTTACTGTAATCTGCACTAACTGAAAGGTGGGCGAGGATTCTTGCTCCCCCTGTGAGGTGTCTGCCTCGCGCGCAGCACTGAACTCTCTTTCCGCCCCCAGGGAGAAGACCACCCACTTCTCTTGCCTCTCCTGCTTCTTTCCCCAAGATCGCCCACCCGACCCCCGGGATCTACTACCTCAAACCTCCAACAACGCCTACAACAGCCGCTCCTTCCCTTGGTGAGAGGCAAGTACCACTGACCCACAGGTAGATGTCACAAAATCAGTAGCGCATGCCCAGCTGCAGAGTCTGCCACCTCGACCAGAGACACACACAGCATGTTTCTGTAGAACTCTCATTGTAACACACATCATGACTCTGCCGAGCTATTGTTAGAGACCTCTACCGTTTCTCATCTGTTTTCTCGGCTAATGCTGTATAAATGGAAAACCCAGGGGGTAGGCTGACCTCCAAGAACTCCTTATATTTGTATTTGTGTAACTCTTTCAGACACAACAAGTTGTCTATGATGCTTAAGGCCACGTGTGCCCTTGTCTCTGAAAGTCCCCACTACCATCTTCTCAAAGGTTCCTTTTCATGGGGAAATAGCAGCACTGAAGTCAACGGTGTAGTCTGCATTTTCTATGTGTGTGTGTGTGTGTGTGTGTGTGTGTGTGTGTATGCATTTGGAGGTTAGAGAACAACCCTCCACCTTGTTTGTGGCAAAGTCTCTTTGTTGTTTGCTGTTGTGTTCTCCAGGCTGGCCCAGGAGCCTGGGGGAGGGGGAGGGGGACGGGGTCTTCTGTCTCCATCTCTATCTTGTTGCAGGAGTGTTGAGATGACAGGCTCTTGGAACTGAAAATCCTCCTCCTGTGTGTACCGTAAGTACCTTACCGCTGAGTCATCTCTCCCGGCTGTGGTTTACCTTTTTTTCCCCCCTGCAGTGCTGGGGATTGAACCTACAGCCTCATGCACATCAGGCAAGTGCTCTGCCACCGAGCACTGTGCTTTCTATAGTCTTGATGCTCTAGGATTCAGGAACTCCGTTTTGGGAGACAGCTCCTCCTAGGGTTGGCTAGTTCAGAAACAGCACGTAGCTCTCCATCTTGGACGCGTGAAACAACCAGCTCAGAGCCCAGACTCCAATGGCCCCCTTTATCTGACTCTCACACATCAAGTCAACATTTCTCTCCTCCTAAGCCCTCTCACCAGGGCCGGGTATCAGAAGTCTAGGGACCGCCCCTCGGAGGAAAACGCGTTATCCTTTCTCTGTCCGAGTCTAAGCTTACTCATCACAGCTACCCACCTGGCCCAGTCCCCTCCATGAAAATCCTAACACGGGCTCAGGACCAATTCCTCACCCCCACTGCTACCCCCACTGCCACCTCCTGACCCCCCCCTTGTGTTTCACATGTGGTCCTGTGGGAGGCCCCATGCTGTTTCCTAAAGACTGTGGTTGTATACACTTCCTACTTTATGCCAATCATTTTTACTCAATTACCATACTTAAGGCAACTATCGAGCATATTTTGAAATGACTGAGAATTGGCACGTTGCTTCTTCCTTGCGGGCCAAAGCAAATCACAGGGCCAAGCCAGGCTTAAGAATCGGGGGAGAAGGTCTTCTTGCCTCTTGAGAGAGAAGCAGCAAACCCCCCCCCCCATCCAAAGGGCAGGCCACAGGTACACACTGGGAAGGGCTGTGGCTGTGGTGTTAACATGTAGTGACTCATCATTTAGATTCCTCATAAAAGCTCTCAACACACACCAGGAAGGGGAGAGAGAGAGATTCTGCCAACTGATAAAGAACACCACAGAATGAATCAGTGGCCACATAACAATATTCCAGAAAAATCAGAACAAGTGACTGGAGAGATAGCTCGCAGTGGTTATAACTGTTTCAGAGGACCAGAGTTTAGATCCCAGCACCCACAGTGGCTCATAACTGCCAGAAACTCCATTTCTAGGGGACCTAGCGCCCTCTTCTGGTATTGACAGGTACCCACACTCACATGCACATCACCTCTCCCCATATAAACATAACTAAAAATAAAAATAAAATATTTTTAAAAATCAGGAACAAGGGGTTGGGGATTTAGCCCAGTGGTAGAGCGCTTGCCTAGCAAGCACAAGGCCCTGGGTTCGGTCCTCAGCTCTGGAAAAAAAACATCAGGAACAAGATAAGAATATATGATTTCCACACTCTAATTTACCCACTAAGGATCAAAACCAGGGCCTTGCACATGTTCTACCCCTGAGCTACATGTTCCACTCCCAGCCTTTGCCACCTCTACTTCTCTTCAATATGGTGCTTAAGACTCTTAGCTTGTGCTGTAAGAAGTGAAGACTAGGGGCTGGAGAGATGGCTCAGCAGTTAAGAGCACTGGCTGCTCTTCCCAAGGTCTCAGGCAGCTCACAACCACCTGTAACTCTAATCCCAGGGGATCTGATGCTCTCTTCTGACCTCCATGGGCATCAGGGAGGCACGTGGTGCGTAGACATAGATGCAGGCAAAACATCTATGCACATGGAATAAGTATAGAGCCATATTTTTAGAGAAGAAGTGAAAACATAGTAAATGCATCCATGTTAGAAAGACACAGGCCAAACATGTAGCTTCCAGTAAGGTGATTGTGTTGAAAACCCACCACAATCTGTGAGTTACTAGAACTAAGACAGCTTTGGGAGGTCGGAGGCTGCAAAGTCAACACAGAAGAAAGTCATGTTTCTCTACGTGACTAAAAACAGTTACTGTTGCAGCAAAGTATTTACAACTGTATCAGAAATGAGAGACTCTAGAGAACAATCTAGGAATGTGTATTAGCCGCTTTTCTATTGTTGTGGTGAAACACTCTGGCTAAGGCAGCGAGTGGAAGAAAGGGTTTATCTGGCCATCCTGTTCCAGAGGGTTAGAATCCATGACGGCAGAGCCAAGGCAGCAAGCAGCGGTGGCAGAAGCTAAGGGCTCACATCTTGGAACTGCAAGCAGGAAACAGAAGAGAACACATTGGGAATGGCTTGAGGCTTTGAAACCTCAAAGCCTGCCCCAGTGACGTACTTCCTTTAGCAAGGCCACACCTCCTAAACCTCCCCCAACAGTGCCACTAACAGGAGAATAAGTATTCAAAGATCCGAACCCATGGTGGACATTCTCATGCAAACCACCACAGAGGGATAGACTTCATTCACAGCCACAGATGTAATTCTGTTCTCAGTCAGTCCTTCCTGAATCAATATGTAGCCTCAACTCACCCAAACACCAAATCCCAATAGGCTGTTGATTTCCCCACTGAAAAGTGCAGATTCATTTAAAACTAGACATCTCTACTATGGCCCATGGAAGGAGGGGCTTTCCAATGGTCAAAGCTGCCTGAGGTGGGTAGTGGGCCTCGGCTACCCTGAAAGGTGCCGGGTTCTCCATCCTGCGGGGTGTTCAAGACCAGTCAAAGGGAGTCATAGTTGTGCTGATCTTGGACTCTGTCATCAAAGCGACTTGGATTTGCATTGTAACTTGGGTATTGCAGGACAAAGAATGTCTTCTTTCAGAGTCTCAGTTTGCACATCTGTGAAATGGTTATAGTCCCATTGTTTTAGTTTGCTTTCAGTTGCTGTGATAAACACCATGCCCAAAAGCAACTTGGGGAAGGAAGGGTTTGTTTCCGCTTACACTTGCAGGAAACTGTCTGTCATTGAGGAAGGACAGAGCAGAAACAGAGGCAGGAGCTATGAAGAGAAGCTGCTGACTGGCTTGCTTCCCCTGGCTTGCTCAGCGATTTGTATAGCCCAAGCCCACCTGCCTAGGCATAGTACCGCCCACAGTGGACTGGGCCCTCCCACACCAACCAGCCATCGATACATTACCCCACATATATGGCCACAGGGTGATCGGACCTGGGCAATTCCTCCATTGAGGTTCCCTCTTCACAGATAACTCTAGGTGTGTGTCGAGTTGACCGCTGAAGCTGACCGTGGCACCCACTAACTGAGTTTATGGAACACCAGTGCAGGGCTGGTCACAGATGACACCTCAGGGGAGGGGCTGATGTCATTACACTAACTGAGGGCGGTGTTCTAAAACGGGGCCTCGGCAGCGCGCTCTGTCAGCACTTGTGAGTCTTGGGAGCCTCTCTCCACTGTTCATCCCAGAGGGAGAGACTCCGCCTTTTCCCTCTTGCTGTTCCCTGGGGAAAGGGTCTCTGCCACATGACAGTCCCCTCCTGGCTTGTCATTACCAGAGGCCCGTGGCATATGGTGACAACCCCGGCTTCCCTACCCATGCTGTCCACACGCTTATGAGGACATCTGAGTCACATCACAAGAGGCTCTGGGGTGCTCAGTGTCCCAGCGTAGTCACACTGTAAGGAGAGGGAACTCTTTTTCAGTGTGGGGGGCGGGGATCTGGGGGCAATGTCTCTTCTGTTGAGCACATGTGGGCTGACCTTCCACCCTTTGACCTTTAGTCTCCAGGGCTCCCCACGGGGTGGCCACTGCAGAGTCTTGTCATCACTGGATCTCAGGCAAAGGCTCCTCTGGGAATGATGGGCCACTTAGCACTGGTTAATGGCGCTACCTTGCACAGACTTAAGGACCTTCTTGGAATCGATCTTCCTGTGAAAATCACACTTTGGAGACACAAAGTGACCACCAGAGAGCCTTAAATGAACTGACTGTTGTCAAGTGGAGAAACAGCATGGGCCGTGAAGTAAACAGTCTCTACCAAGGCTGAGCAAGAGGCATGTGCCCTGTGCCTCTGACTGTCAGAGGCTGGTTTCTGCATCTCCATTCTCCAGAGGACTGTGATGTTCTGGGCCTTTGTGCTCACTGTGTGATGTGGATGTGGCATTTCTTGCTCCTGTCCTCACCCCTGCTCTGTCCCCTTCTTGGAGAAGGGGGGGGGTAAGTTCCCACTCTCTCTTCACCCCTCCCTTCACTCATCTGCTGGGAATTGGCTGAGAGCGGAGACACTTGAGTTCAAGAAGGTGCAGGGACCTCTATCCGCGGGGACAGTGGCTATTTCAGATGTCTCACCAGATACAGATATGGGACCGAGGTGAGTCCTCCCAAGCCCCCATCCAGTTACCCACAAACCCAAGGTGGCTCCATTTGCCCAAAGTCTTGCCTACCTACGTTTGCCAGGGCCAGCTGTGCCCACTCTGAAGGGCTGAATATCCAAAAAGGATGATATCTGGACCCCACCTTCACCCCATGAATGGTGAATCCATGTGGATCTCTAACATCACACATGTCACTTCTGTGGCCTCTCAGTGTCATCCTGCACATCAGTGTCTGCTTCCCCAGAGAGTCAGCTCCGGAGGAAGAGGCTCGTCCTGCCCTCCCCAGAGCTGTCCTGAGCCTTGCTAGGGTCTGGGTGGGAGAGTCCTGTGACACCACTGTAGCCCTGATAGAGGCAGACATGTTTTCACACCACACCACTGTTGAGCCACACCTGGCCACATCTGTCAAAGCCTCCATCTGTGGGTGGAGAGTGAGCTGGGCTTCCTTCTGTGCTCCATGTCACCATCGTGATCCTCAGCTCTCTCAGGCATTGTCCTGGTAGAGTAGCAGATGGGCAGGTGAGCCCTGGGAGAGTGGAAGACAGATGGGGATGGAGGACAGCTACAGAGGACCAGCTTCCCAGATCCCACAGCATCAGAGCTGCCTGCCACACAGTTTGATAGGCAGCGTGACAGGCCTGACCCACAGAGAAGCCCCTGGCTGAGGAGGGTTCTCGTGATGCAGTGTGAGCCCAGGATCAAGAGTTGGTGGCATGAGTCAGGGACAGAGTCAGGCAGGCCAGCTTGGCAGCAAGCAGTAGACCTTTCTCATGGGGAATGGTCAAAAGGATGCAGGCAGTGGGATCCTAGGGAGCCCTCTGGAGAGGGCCACAGTGCAGGTAGAAAAAGCCAGCTGTCCTGGGACTTCCTTTAGAGTCTGGGGTCTGGAGATCGAGGGGGTAGAGGCCTGTCTATAGAGCATCTCCAGAGAGTCTGTGTACCAAGCCATAGAGTCACATGGGTGCTGGTGCATCTGGGAAGGTGGAGGCCTAGGGAGGTCCATCAACAGATGCATGTGGAGGGAGTGGAGTTAGGAGGGATGTCCAGACTCCAGAGTGTGTGGGACCTGGCTGTGTGGCCAGATCTCAGGCAAGTGCTGAGGGTCATCTGAGAGATCTCGAGGCAGTGTGCTCCTCAGGTCCAGGCCTCTAACGAATCCCTGGTGCTGCTGTTGCTGCCTGTCCATTGTCCACATGAGCCTTTTGCAGGAAAAATTTTGTATCCCAAATGTCACAGGCTCTCAGAATTCATGCTGGTGTGCAGAGGTGAGCCACCTCCATGTTTTGGGTACCTGGGGCATGTACATATTCCATCTACACTCTGCACCTGGAGCAGGGCCCTCCAACTTCCCTTCTTAGGAAGTCCAGGAAGCTTGCCCACTTGAATTCCATGCACAATTACTCACCCAAGTAAGTGTTTAATTAAATTCTCATGACAGTCACGGTGTTTTACCCAAATGGTTAACTGATGGCCTTGTGTTTTTGCCTGCACCCAGCAACCCCACTGTGGAGATTTTCATCCAAGGCTCGCCAGCCTCTGTGAATGATTCTTTGTAATCAGCCATATAGAGACGGCTATAATGCCCGAAGTAGAGAGACCTTTCTGTAGACTGTGCACCATGGCTGGTGTCCAGACAAGCCCCATGAAGAACAGAACTAGGTCACCACAGGATGTCTACATGTGGCCACCGTGGTGTCTGGTTCCAGGAGACAGTCTCTGACATTTACATGGTGGGACCAATGGGATGAGGCAGGTAGATATGGACCAGGAGGGGTGGATGAGGATTTTAGTGGATGTGGCTGGAGGCCATGGAAATGCACATCTCTGCAGATACCTTGGGCCCATGGGGCAGCAGCGGGGGATGTAAACCACACGTGAGATTCCTGGCTATGACCAGATGACTGTGGCACTACCCCAGCTGGAGATGAGAGGAGACTGGACTCGATATTACAGACTCTGGGAACAGGTGGGTGACAGACAGGTCAGTCCATGGTCCCATCCACCAAAAAGAGGGAGCAAGGTGTGTCTGGCAGGCAAACAGGGAGGGACACATCTTGAGTGGAATAAAGATGAGTCTCTAAGGTCTGAGTAGATAGGATCAACTGTAGGGCTCAGAGAGGGCCCTGGGCAGTAGAGTGCAGTGGATGCCCCCATGCTCATCCGTGTGTCCCCTGTGCCTGCAGCAGAGGGACAGGCTGATGGAAGAAGAGTGACCGGAGCCTGCTGACTAGTAACTGGGACATCAGCACAGTCAGATTGGAGACAACAAAGACTGTGTGGGCAGGGCTTCCCAGGACTGACTGGGAACCACTGGGAAGGCACAGAGAAAGTCAGGGCCCCTCTGAGGAAAGACCTGGAGGCCAGGCTGGCAAGGGGAAGGGAGCAATGAACTCAGCCTTGGGAGATCCAGCACTCTCTACACTACTGTGCAATCTGCGCTGAGTCACTTGCCCTCTCTGGGCTTAATCTGCACATCCGCAGAACAAGATCACTTTGAAGACCCCTCTGTGTTAGGTTTGGATGCTAAAGGGTTCTGTGTGACCCCTGCCACTTCCTTGCCTGGTCCCTTTTAAAGAGACCCAGTGGTCTTCCAGCTCCAGCTGCCTTCTGCCCGAGAAAGGCAAGCCAGCCAGCAGCAGGAGCCGTAGAGCTGACTCAGCAGCTTCCCAGAGCCCTCGTTACTCTGGGTCTGCTGGTGACAGACAGGGCTGCTCGGTCCATTAGAGTCTGACACTCATGTGCCCTTGCCCTTGGAGGTGTCATTACCGGGTGGTTCCAGCAGCTTCTTCTATGGGAAGAAAAGGGGCAATGGGATGTGAACCTGACCCACAGATGGGGGCAGAGGCTGAGACAGCAAAGTTTTGTGCTGGGCTCAGCTTGGGACAAAGGACCAGAGCTGTCAGCATAGATTTTAAGGCTCTGGATGCCCTCAACACTCCAGACTCCCCCACCCACCCCCGGGGCACCCATTAAAGAGACAGGCAACTGTGAGAAGCAGAGAGAGTTTCACTCAGGGTGGCCTCAGTGGGAAGAGGAACAGATGAAGGGATCCAGTGACCTTTGAGTCCGTCTTCAGGGTATGGGTTTAAATAGAGGGAAAGCAGTGTGCACACCTGGCTGAGGTGTGGTCCTACCCATCGTGGGCCTATTATGGTCTCAGCTCAGATCTGTCCTACAAGGTGGTCTGATATGTTGTTAAGTTAATCAACGAATAGAATTACCTTGGAGGGTGACTGTCTTCATCTTGGGGGTTGGATGGGATGGTTCTGGGTGGGATTTGCTCTTCCTAGAATTCAAGGCTCGGGGGCAGTCCTACACTGACTCCCACTGACCATATCCTATCCCGGAGCCAATCCCTTAGAGCGAGTCTGCTAAATGTAATGAGGCAATCCTAGGCCATCCTGAGGACCTAGGGCTTAACCGTTGCCTGAACAGAGCAGGCTGAGAGTAGGAGACAGAAGGTTCTAGGTGAAGGTTCTGAGCGACAAAAGTCACAGACAGCCTCTTCTGGGCCAAAGGTAGAGGACAAAAATAAATTGTCAGGTACAGAAATAAGGGGTAAGGGGAGAGAAGGCATGGGAACGGGTTACCAAATATACGTAATTTAAAAAGGAGTTTGAACACAGGTGTTCCGCATGAGTGGACAATACTTCTCTCAGAAGACATGGGCTATTAGATGAAAATCTCAGTGTCAGATGTGAATACCTCCATATCAGTTATTGGCCGGGCAAGCCCCAGGAGCCCCCAACAACAACACAGGCTACCGCCGATGCTCTTGTCTGACCACTGTAACTAGATGGTAAGACTTTAGTGTGAAGATACAATATACTTTGGCTCTAGGACGTAGAGAAAAAAAGCTAGAACTGACCTGAAAACCTCAGTTTTGCTGGCCAGCTAGCATAGACCTAAAAGGCTTTATACAGGCCACTGGAGCAGAAAAGTCATCAATGGTCTTACTCAGTGGGTGGCCCGCTACAGTACTGACCTGCCCACTCCTGTAATAGTGGCACGAAGGTTATGCAAACAACCAACTGCTTTTGAGATTAGATTTGAGACCTGCTTGGCAGGAAGTGATTCATGCCTGATACTATAAAGCTGGTCAAAAGCCCAAGGCTCAGGAGGTCATAAGCTCTAGAGGGGAACCTAGTACTGTTTGTTGTTTTTGTTAAATGACATGTTGCCAAAGTGCCTTATATTCATGTTTATACTTACAGCAAGCGATGCCCTCAATTGTGGCCAGAGGAGCTTCTTTTTGCAGTGGGCAGGAGTTAATGCAGACACTCATAACTGGTCCAAGGGCTAAGAATAAGTGACAGCATTGTCTCAAACCCTTAGGCCCCAAGGTTCAGCAGAAGAGGTGTTAGAAAGATGTAAGAGATGGTGTGTGTGTGTGTGTGTGTGTGTGTGTGTGTGTAGGTGAAGGTGACATGGCTGTTGCAATCATGGACTCACTGCAGCTGCAGTTACTTGCACAACATCAAGCAAACAAGACCAGCCCACGTTCCAGCAGGCAGTACTAATTGGACTCAGTGGGGAAATAAATAAATGAATAAATAGAGAGAGAGATGAGAAGGTGGAGGATGTGTGTTGAGGTACCCGAGGGGAGTGGGAGGGAGAAGTTGGAGGAAGCTATGATTGAGACACATTGTTTACAGGTATGGAATTCTCAAAAGATTAAATAAAAGGTATTCCTTTTTTTTTTTTTTTTTTTTTTAAGAAGAAAAACAAGCACTTGAAATGAAATCAAGATCTGAAGTGCCTGGATGCCTTCATTTTATCTCCCCAGTCATCCAAAAAGATTGTAGCTGCTACTATCTTAACTCCAGAATCCTGTAGTGCCAAGCTGGAAGAACTTTCATAGGCACTTGGTCCAATGCCTTCACAATTATAGGCTACAGAGATGCAGAGGGGTCACAAAGCTCATTATTGGAAGACTCAGGTTTCCGCAAAGTCAATCCCAGCAGGTATCTGTGTGTTCAGAGACTTTATAGACTTAGAAAAATACAAGGAGCATTCTCTGCTGCTGGACTCAGCAGGCAGGACAGCCTTTAAGACCAGAGACCACCCTGCCGTGAGTCACCTGGTCACCTCTGGGGCTGTCCCACTGACCCCCTGTGTAGGCAGATGCTGTCACAGTAGCTGTGTCTAACAGATCTGGAGCTGTTTCCTGGAGGGTCCTTGGCTCTTCACTCTTCGTATTACTGATGGTAGAGGTGGCCCCAATCTCTGCCTCCTCTATCTACCCATTTTCCTTCTGGTCTGCGAAGCCAGGAAAGCAAACCCCAAGAGCACAAAGATGGAGCCATGCATTGGATAGCTAGAGACCAAGGCCTAGGAGGGGCAGGCAGACAGCAGGGTAGGAAGGCTGCTGACTCCTAGTCTAAGCTCTCCCACCACACCATGGGCCTTGCTGGCTGCAGAGCCCTAAGCAGCCATCCTGTGGCCTTGGTTGGGACTGTCAACATCCTGAAACCCAATGCTCACACAGTGACAACACCTCTCTTGAATAGTGTTGTCGCACAAGGCAAAGTCACTCTCTCCTACTGAAACACAAGGCACAGGAGCGTGGTCAGAGAGCGGCTGGGGCGTGGTCAGAGAGCGATTGGGCCTGCTCCAAGGCCATGCTGCTGACCTGTCGGAGGTCAGGACCAGCCTCCAGCCTCCCTGCACACAGGACAGGGGCTTTCATTTCAAAGGGTTGGGACCACATTGCCCTTCTTTGATCCCTCTGTATCCTCAGTGTGCGTGGACCATTCTGGGGTCCCCTAGCCACTCTGCATTGGGCCTCTTCTCCCAGATCAATATGAGCAGCAGCTCTGCCCCCGAATTTCCAGTCTTATCTTCATGTTCCCATTGTGTCCTCAGATCTGCGCAAGGACACCTTTCCTGTTGTGACCAGGAAGTCGCTTGTCTAGGACCCCAAAGCATATGTTTTACCTCGCCTCGCCAGCTCCTGAACGCGGTGCCCCTCGCACACCCTGCAGGGTCCCACATCTGTCCTCCTGTTCCTTCTGTTTGCCTTTCTCATCCTTGTCCCCTGTCTGCCTCTCCTGTGCCCAGTCCAGCTTGGTGAGAACATCCTCATAGCACGGGGGGGGGGGGGGGGTGTTGAGATCATTGTGTTCTGACAGACCTGCTCTGTCCAAGCCTCCTGTCAGAAGTCCAGAGTCCAGCTACCTCTACTCCAGCTTCCCTTTCCTCTCCGGCCTCTTGCTTATTGGAATGTTCATTAGGGTAACCTTGGTGGAGGACACTCTATCCAAATTTGAAATGTGAGGAACGTTTGCCCTGGCTTGTAATAGTCGATCATTCAGAAATACTCAAGAGAATAAAAACTCCCCAAGGATCTTCATCCAGTGTTACCAGCAACTTGAAACCCGACTCGTCTACACGTCCATCATTTAGATTAGTTGCCTAAATGTTGGCACATCCGAACCCATCTCATACTAAGCAGCCATTAAAATGATTGAGTTTGGCCTTTAGGCTCAGACTTGGGAGAGTGCCCATAATGTGTTTTTGAATAACGTAAGCTGCTCCTGAAAGGATACGAACAGTACAATGAAGATGTCCACGACATCAGTTTGTGCACAGATAAATCCCTGGGAGATGCTCCGGGGTATTTCTCAAGGGCTGAAACCCTCTGCCCACATGGATTCCCCAGGGCCTTGTTCACGGCCACTTGGGTGCAGGGTCCTGTTCCCTCTTGCCTTGTGGTCAGTGTTCCCGTCTCCCTTCCCTGAATCGATCCCATTACATTCCAAACACACTGCAATCCAAGTAAATCTGTAGCAAATCCCAGGGCTCCCTCAGCTTCCTTTGCCAACAAAACAAAAGCCTCACGGTTCTGCCCCCCTAATCTCTCCCCCTCTCTCTTCACTCCGTCCACTTTATGCCCCACCATCCTCTGCAAGGTCACCAACAACCTTGGCATTTGGTCAACATTTAGTGACACGTGGACTACTGGCACTTGGCATGGTTTCTCACGCCTTCTGTCTGAGGTCTGTTCCCTTCTAGACACTTAGACCTTCTAGTGTCCTGGTCTCCCCCAGGCCTCCCTCTTGCTCCCTCCTTCTGGCCCATCCATCTGCAGACCTGCCAGCCTTGGTTCCTCGGGAGACTTCCTCAGACCCATGGCTTCTCTTCTGTTACATGCTCGCAACTCTCAAATTCACAGCTCAAGCTGGGCCTGGTGGTGCTGACCTGTGGTTCCAGCTAGTGGGAAGATTGAGGAAGGAAGACAGGACAGTTTATGTCAGAAAGAGAGAAGAGAGAGGGGGGTGACCAACACACACACACACACACACACACACACACACACACACACACACACACACACCAAAACAAAAAAAAACCAAAAAAACAAAAAACCCAAAACAAACGAACAAACAAGCAAAACAACCAACATCTCATCCCAATCCTCCTTGATTTTGACTTCTAACTGCTACCCTTCTTCCCTTCCCTTCCTCCCCTTCCACCCTCCATCATTCTCTCCCTCCTCTTTCCTCAGCAGTTGTCTCTGTCTTCTTTTCTCTCACCCTCCTCCTTCCCCCTTCCCCTCCTCTCTACCCAAATCATATAAGGCCCCTATAAACGTCCACACATAGGGATGCCTGTGAATCGGCCCTGCACATAAGAACTATTTGTGATGAAAAAAGCCAAACTCACAAAGAGCCTGCAGCCCCTTCCCTGAAGTGCTGTGCTCTCCGGCGGCCGGGCAGTTGATTTTGATTTATAAACACGTTTCTTTCATGCTCCAATGCAACTCTTCAAAACAGCCTCCGTTTTCCTTCTCAGCTCCGCACAATCCCGGGAGCATTTTCCAGGCTACTCTAAGAAGCTGTGCACGGTGCTGTGGGGACAAACATGGATAAGAAGCGTGTTCAGAAGGAAAAGGAACCACCAGCTCTCCCAGAGAGCAAGTATTCCAGGGCTTAGCTGGAGAGCTGATGCCTTGGGCAGTGTGAGGAGCTTCTACGCCTGAGAAAATCTGACTCTGCAGGAAGTCCTAGAGAAGCCACGGACTATGACTGGACATAGGGGCTGCTGAGAGATGGGAGTGGCCCAGCCACTCTGCCCCCTTCTCCTACCACTATATGTATTTAATCCACTTGGGAGGCAGAGGCAGATGGATCTCTGTGAGTTCAAGGCCACCCTGGACTACATGAGATTAATTCAGTCTAAAAGAGAAACATAGCCAGGTAGTGATGGCTCACACCTTTAATCCCAGCACTAGGAAGGTTGAGACAGGAAGTGATATGGCTGGGTGGAGAAAGAAATATAAGGTGGAAGGAGACAGGAGTTACCCCCCCCCCCCCATTCAGCTAAGGACTCAGGGCATTTAGTCTGAGGATTCGTGGAGACAGGCTCTTCCCCTTTTTGGCTGAGGAGTGGCGTGGTGGGAAGGGGCTGTGACTTGTTTCCTCTGATCTTTTATTAGCATTTACCCTGATATCTGGCTTCGGGTTTTTATTAAGACCAATTAGGATATAGACATGGTGCTGGAGAAGTAGCCGAGTGTTCTACATCTTGACTTGCAGGCAACAGGAAGTGGTCTGAAACACTGGGTGTGGCCTGAGTATATGTGAGACCTCAAAGCCCGCCTCCACAGTGACACACTTCCTCTAACAAGGCCACACCTACTCCAACAAAGGCCACACCTCCTAATAGTGCCACTCCCTTTGGGGGCCATTTTCTTTCAAACCACCACATCATGTTACAGTTTTTAATAGCAGCAGGTGCCCATACCACCCAATCATCACAGCAGCATTGAAGGTCCATTCAGGGAAAGCTATCTCCTAGCGAGAAGAATAAAATCTACCTGAGGATGGAGATCCAGCATTCCTCTTGGGCTCAGCTGATCACCTGGCCAAAGGCCCACCCCCAGGAAGGTCCTGCTAAAGAGAAGAGAGGGGTAATTAGCCCTTTAGTGAGATAATGTGTAGCATGAATCCTAACAGGTCTTATTAATAAAAACAAATCCGGGCTGGGTATTGGGGTGAACACTGGAAGATCAGAGAAGTAGAACAAGCCACAGCCACCTCATCTTGCTAATTCCTCAGCTGATCCTGTTTCCTGAGACTGGATGCTTCTGAGTCCTCATCCAAATGGATCTCAGCTGAACTGTGCTGCTCAAAAGCCTAAAAGCTTAACCAGCCAAATGCTTCTAGTTTCTGGTCTTCACGCCTTATATATCTTTCTGCTTTCTGCCATCACTCCCTGGGATTAAAGGCTCACTTCTTGGGATTAAAGGCGGGAGTCACCATGCCTGGCTGTTTCCAATGTGGCCTTGAACTCACAGAGATCCAGAGGGATTTCTGCCTCTGGAATGCTAGGATTAAAGGTGTGAGTGCCACCATTTTCTAGCCTCTGTATCTGTTCTTTGACCCCAGATAAGTTTATTAGGGTGCATAATATTTTGGGGAACACAATACCACCACAATAATGGACTTTCCTCCCAGGGACAGATGGCTGTTTATGGAGCTGTGGTGTGCAGCCCTGTTCAGCCTGCCCACATTTCTCAGGCTTTCTTCAGAAAAGTGTAATGTTTCCCTTTTCTCTTTCTATCTTTTTCCAACCACATTTCCTCTGGCACACTGGGTTTCTTTCCTCTTTTCTCTGGAAGCCCCCCACCCCTTCCCTTTCCATGTGACTGACTTCCATTGCTGAAACATCCCGGTTTAACTTGAACAGCATGGCTTTCTCACTTCTTCTCTGTCTTCCTCCTCCAGGCAGCTACTGAGATTGACAGCTTGCCTGCTCTGTGGTTTTTCTTGAAAACTCTAACAAAATTGTCCTTGAGCTTCCTTTTGAGTCTATTCTTCAATTCCTTCATTAACAAAACCAGGAACCCTAACAGAGAGGACCTCAATTTTCTTTACAACACTTATCTAACCCAAGGTCATTCTCCCTAATTAATTAATTAAATAATTAATATTTTTGAGACAGGGTCTCCTGTCTCCCAGGCTGGTGTTCAGCCCACCATGAGGTGAGGATCAGAACCGTTAAACTGTGCATCTCCTGGCTCCACCTCTCAAGTGTGGGATTATAGATGTGTGTCACTTTGCCTGGCTTTTGTGTGACACTGGGGGCTTGAACCCAGGCTTTGTGTAGTCTAGACAAGTACTCTACCAGCTGAGCTACATCTCCATCCCTGTCCCCACTGCTTTGGAAGCTGCTTGTGTGTCTGGCGCAGATCGGCAGTGTTACAGCTGCTGGGTTCTTTTGTTTTCCTGAGTGCAGCTGACCTTGGTGGGGACTTGGGGACAGCTGGCCAGGGAAGAGGGAACTGTGAACACGATGGCTATGGAGTGACAGAGAGCACAGTATGGTCAAGTCACGGAAGGTAGGCTATTGTGGCTACAGAGGGCCTAGAAGGTTCTGGGCTGGGCACTATGAAGTTTCAGATGCCAGGAGCTCTTTTTCTAGCACAGGGGAAGTGAGATGCTGTCATTGGGGGTGGTATGCTTAGAACAGCTTTTTTTTTTTTTTTTTTTTTTTTTTTTTTTTTTACCATTGTGATGGATGGCAAACAGAAACAAGCCAGAGGGTGTGAGCAGAGAGACGACAGGGACCCTGTTATGACACCACCATATAGACAGGAGACTGTAGAGCTTTCTGGCAAGTGAATGCCAAAGTACAGCAGGGGACAGGCAGGTTTAGGGACATTTAGGGACTGCTATGGGCATGCTTTGCGACAAGACAGTGTGTTCCAGGTAAACGGGAGGGAGGTGTCAAGGTGAAGATACCCTGTTTCCAATTTGGGTTACTGAATGAGTGACAGCGGAGCCATCTGAGGACACAGTGCCAGCAGAGGAGCAGGTGTGAAGGCCAAGTCCGGGCACTGCATCCTGGACGGGTAAGTCTGACAGGCTTTTGAGATGCGCAGGTGTATCTGATCAGGAAGCCAGGCTGTTTATCCTCTCTACTGTCATGTCTGTTCCAGAATGTCTTGAAAATGGAATTAGAGAGTACACTGTTCACACAGGCTCCTTCTTCTTAGCAACACGTATTTAAAATGCATCATTGTTCTTACAGAGTTTTATAGCACATTCATATTTTTACTATTGAGTAATACTCTATTGTATGGGTACCTTACTGTCCATCTTAATGGCTTGCTGTTCGGAAAATTATGAATAAAGTAGCTACAGACATCTGCATGAATGCTTTTGTACAGATATCTGTTTTTAGGTCAGTCAGGTAAACACCTCTGAGCATATATTGTGTGACTCTTTACCTGGGACACATGAACAAATGTCTACTTATAGGAGAGCAAAAATAGATCAAAGTACGGATACCACCAAACTCCCATTGGAGAACCAATGAGTTTTATTGGGATTACTTACAGGAATATCAGTGAGAGGTAATTTACAGGAGCAGAACCACTCAAAGACAACTGCATCACAAAGCCCACCTCAGCGTGGGGGACAGCTCACAAAAGCTGGGAATCTAGAGCACACTGCAGGACTTTGAAGCAGCTTGACAAGTTGGAGTGTCCTGTCAGACAACTCCACTGGTATGACTCTCAGCACTCCTTATTTACTAAGTTTGGGGAAGGGAAGCCTTGTACACCTGGTCAGTTCTGGGGACTTCCTGGGCCTTCTGAGTTGTTCACTTCCTAAATCTCAAGGAATCTCCCTTTAGAACATCCTAAGTCTTTTTTTTTTTTTTTTTTTTTTTAAATATGATCTCTCTATCTGACTATCCTGGAACTCACTATGTAGACCAGGCTGCCCTGGAACTCACAGAGATTCACCTGCTTTTGCCTCCTGAGTGCCGGGATTAAAGGCTTGTGCCACCTCACCTGGCCCATAGCCTGAGTCTTAATGAACATCCCTTTAGAGCTTCCTGGGTCTTAAAGATCCTTGAGCCTTGAAGAATTTGCTTCATAACAGCATGATTGCCTAGTCCTATGGTAAAGTTCCAAGTCAGCTCTGCAAGCAAACAAAAAACAGAAGAAACAAACAAACAAAAAACCAATCAAACAAGCAACAAAAGCCCAGTTGTGCTGTGAAATAATCCTCTTGTACACTGTAAAGATTTGTCACTCAAATTAGTTTAATAAAATGCTGATTGGCCAGTAGCCAGGCAGGAAATATAGCTGGGGTAATCAAACTAAGAATACTGGTAAGAGAAAGGGTGGAGTCAGGAGTCACCATCCAGAAACAGAGGAAGAAGAAGAGAATACCCACTGAGAAGAGGTACCAAGCCAAGTGGCTAAACATAAAAAATAATTATGGGTTAATTTAAATATAAGAGCTAGTTAGTAATAGGCCTGAGCTATTGGCCAAGCATTTATAATTTATAAGCCTCTATATGGTAATTTGGGAAGCAGCTGCCCATTATTTGGGAGTTGCTGGTGGGACAAAATTTTACACTTACACAATTTGCATTCACTACAGTGAATGAACAGCATCTATTGGCCTACCTGCCTGCTCATTTTAGCTTTTTTAACAGGTATGTGCAGCTACCTAATGGTTTGATTGTTTATCTCCCTTGATAGAAAGAAAAAAAAAAGTTTGCACACAGTTGCAGGCCATCCTGCATCTTGTGAAGTGTCTGTTCAAATCTTTTTAATTGTCTTTCTGGGAGCAGAAAGGGGGCAGGTGAAATATCTCAGAAGGGAGAGGTACTTGAGTACTACCCTGGTGACCTGGGTTTGATTCCCAGATCCCATCAGGTGGTAGGAGAGAACTGACCTCTACTCAAGTGTGACAGCATGCACTTATAATCACACACACATGCATTGATGAGTTTTTCCTTTTTCTTTTTCAGAGACAGGGTTTCTCTGTGTAGCCCTGGCTGGCCTGGAACTCACTGTGTAGACCAGGCTGGCCTCGAACTCACAGAGGTCCTTCTACCTCTGCCTCCCGATTGCTGGGATTAAAGGTGTGCGCCACCATGCCTGGATGATTTTAATTTTTAAGCTGTTTTTGGCACAGCAATTTTGTTTGTTTGTTCTCAATGCTGAGGATGGAATCTGGAGCTGTGGATGTATCAGCCAAACTCTCTGCCCTGAGCCCTGTTCCCAGCCTGAAGGTTTCTGTTTTGATAGGTCCCAGCTTGCCCCTCCCCCAAAGTGCCCCACGTTGGATGTTGAGACTATAAATGTACCTGGACTCCTCTGTCACATCACCTTTTAAAACGCTTACATTTGCATTTTGCACTTAGACGTTTAGTTCTGTGCTCAGTATGGATTAATTTCTGTGACAGGTTTAAACTTTGGACCGAGCTGTCTTCCATGGTGTTTAGTTTGGGGTCCAGCTATTCCATCAGAGTCTGTTGGGAAGACCATCTTTCCTCTGTTAAATTGTCTCACTCCTCTGTTAAAAACAACAACAATGTGTCGACCATATTTGTGTGTCTATTTCTGGGATCTCTGTCCTGGTTCATGGATCTGTGTGTCTAACTTCGCTGTCTTGATTACCATAGCTTTATAGCCAGTCTTGAAATTGGCTTCACCCCATCCTCTCATCTAATTCTTTTCTGGCTTTTCCAACACTGTGTTGGCCACTCTTGGTCCTTTGCCCTTCCACATAAATTTTAAAATCAGTTGGTCGATCTCTACAAACTATTTTACAGGGACATTGGGATGTCATGAAATCTATATCTCAAGTTGGGAGAAACTTAGATATAGATTAGATAACTGAGAATTCCCTTCATGTTTTGTATTTTTCTACATGTGTTTGCTATATGTGTTTTGTTAGATTTATATCTAAGTACTTTATTTTTGGTGCTATTGTAAATGATATTTAAATATATACACATATGTCCATATGTATGTGTATATGTTTAAAATTCCAATTATTCATTCCTGGCATACAGAAAATAATTGATTTCTGATAGCAACCTTGTACTCTGTGACTTTCTTGTATTCACTTCTTTGTTCTAGAAGAATTTTTTTAGTATAATATTTTTGGATTTTCTAGGCCATGATGCCACCCCCAAGCAAGGATCGTTTTGCTTCTTCCTTTCTGAGGACACACACTCTGTGTGTTTTTGTCTCATTGTCCTGGTAAGGATCTCCAGTGGAGACTGGGACACTCATGGTGACCAAGGCTGTCCTGGACTTTCTCTTCATCTCAACCTCATGATGGAAGCTGTAGACTCTTTTCTTTTGTAAACCATTTTGACTAAGTGGAGAAAAATCTCCCCTGATTTCCAGATTTCTAGGACCTGAGTTTATTTTCCCCTAATTTCTGGGCAGTGGATTTTGTCTACTGCACTTTCTACATCAATTGATACTACCCTATGTTTTAATCTTCAGTCTCTTGATGTTGTGGCAAGTTACAGCGCCACAATGAGAGTTTACTCAAAGCACTCAGGGAATAATATGATAAAAGCCTCTTTAATAATAGTGCATGTCCAGTTCTGGCTAAGGGCCAAAGAGAAACCAGCCCTGAACAAGGACTCTTTGTAGCTTATGTAGGTTTGAGAAATAACATTGTGTTTTTACATATGCTTCCGGCTGCAAAGATGCTCAACACAGAAACTGCGAGTTTAGTTGTTTTTGGACGCGTGGGGAGATTTACATTGTAAAGCTATTGTCACAGTTATCTACTCCCCCAAACCCCCGACATTCATCAGTTTGATTGCTGCCTCTACAAACTTGCTTTTTGGAGGAGAAACCACTAAAGAAGTTCTCTACATGTTGTCTTTAACTAAAGAAGTTCTCTACATGTTGTCTTTAGCCTCTAGCCTAGACTAACTTTTAGTCTAGTATAATTTTCTCCAGATGCTTCCATGTGAAGTTCATGGCAGTGGTCCACTCTTTTCTATGGCTGAGGCATCTATGATGGACACACTGTGGTGGTCTGAATGGGAATGAATGGTCCTCACAGCTTCCATATATGTGAATGCTTGGTCATTAGGGAGTGGCACTACTTGACAGGGATTAGGAGGTATGACTTTGTTGGAGTGGGTGTGGCATGTCCCTGGGGGTGGGCTTTGGGATTTAGGAAGCCCAAGCTGTCTCTCTGTCTCTGTCTCTGTCTCTCTCTGTCTCTCTCTCTCTCCCTCCCTCTGCCCCCTGCCTGTGGATCTGAATGTACACTCCCAGCTAGTCTCCTGCACTATGTCTGTCTGCTTGCCACCACGCTTCCCGACATGACGATAATGGATTTAACTTCTGAAACTGTGAGCAAGCCCCAATTAAATGCCTTTTTAAAAATAAGAGTTGCTGGGGTCATGGTGTCTCTCTATAGCAATAGAACACTGATTAAGACATACATCATGCTCGTTCTTACATGGATGGGTGCTGGGGTAGTTTCTGTGTTTGAATCATACTGCTATGGGGTTTGGCTATGAATCTTTTTGTTCACGTGGGCTGCCATTTCTTTCAGGCAGATTGCTAGGCATGGAGAGGCTGAGCCTTATGAGAAGTGTATATTTGACTTTGAAAGAAACTGCCCCACCAAGGCTGGAGGTGTAGCTCAGTGGGCAGACGCCTAGCGTGCATGAGGTCCTGGTTTTTATTCCCAGCGCCATACAAACCAGGTGGTGGTGGTGCGTGCCTGTAATCCTAGACACGGCAGAGGCAGAAAGTTTGGAAGTTGAAGATCTTCTACAGAGTTCAAGGCCAGCTTGGACAGCGCTAGACCGTCTCTCAAAACCAACTAAACCAAACCAAACCATTGACAACAGAAAGGAGGCTGCCATGTCACTGGGCCAGGCCAACTGTGTCATTTCCATCCTTTGGATGACGAGCCCTGCTCTCCACATTCTTCACAGCACTCGGCGCTGTGCCTTTAAGATCACACAGCCACACAGCGGCCGGGTCTCACGGGGTGTAGCACGCATTACTAATATTACTATTGAGCATGTTTCTGAAGCGACTCAGCTACTCACAGGCTGTCTTCTGTGTAGCATCTACCCCAAGTTTCTGGGACTTTTTGTTTTGTTTTTAATTAACTTTTTTTAAATTAAAATATAATCGTGTCATTTCTCCTTTTCCGACTCCTCCCATGTTCCCACTTGCTCCCTCTCAAACTCATGGTCTCTGTTTGTTATCCCCCTCAGTCCATTCAGTGTTGCTTCTAAGAACATGATTTGTGGGCTGGCCACTTAATAGTAGATAGCCAGTCGGGGAGTTCATCCTGTCTCTGACTCTCAGCATTCTTTAGTTGCCTACAGTTCTTTGTTTAGGGATGCCCTAAGCTTGAGGCTTGTCTTTTTTATTTTCTTAATGTTCCCCTTGGAACAAAAGATGGTTCTTTTTTTTTGTGGGGAGGGGTTACTGGTTGCTTTTCTAGCTATGACAAAATACCTGGGGAAAGCATCTTAAGAAACTAAGGTGTTCCGGTGTCGTCTCCGTTGTATTGGTAAAATTACACCCCACCCCAACAAAGCAACTCAGTGAAGAAAGGTTTGTTACAGCCCATCACTGGGGGTGGGGTATGGGGTGGGGGGAGGCACAGTGGCGGGGCCATTGCATTCGCAGTCAGGAGTAGAGAGAAATAGACACAAGCATGCTGCTTGCTCATACTCAGTTTGATTTCTCTACTCTTATGCAGTTCAGGACCCCTCCCCCTGTGCCCATGGCCCCTGCCTAGGGAATGGTGCCACCCATGGTAGGCTGAGTCTTCCATTATCGAATAACTTAGTTAAGACAATGCCCACAGACCAACCCAATGTAGACAATTCCTCATTACGTCTCTCTTCTTGCTCATTCTAGGTTATGTCAAGATGTGTCAATTAAAGGTAACCATCACAGAAGGGTGTATTCTGGCTCCACAGTCTAAGGGTGTAGCCCGACATAATGGAAAGAACTGAAGGCAGCTGGTCACCTTGCATTTGTAGTCAGGAGGCAGAGAGAGATGAATGCTGGTGTTCAATTTGTTTTCTCCTTATTTCATCTGGGACCCCAGTCCATAGAACAGTGCCACTCACACCCAGGGTGGGTCTTCTCACTTCAGTTAACCTAGAAACCTGCTCATGGATACACCCACAGGCTTGTCTCCAAGATGATTCTAGATCCCATCAAGCTGACAATCAACATTAACCATCACACGGGGTGCTGGGTATTAAACCCAGGCCTTGAACACACAAGGCAAGCACTCTACTACTGCTTTCTTTTTGGTCATGCATCGTGCTTTTAATTACATTTTTAAGAACTCTGCCTGGCACCAGATCATGAAAGTTGACTCCTCTCTTTTTTTTTTTCTAGACATCTCATGGTTTCCACTTACACATGAGTTTTCTGGATTCATTTGCACATGGATTTCATGCCCCACCACTGCCGTTACCCTGGATGTGTGCTTGCTGAGACCCAGGTGGCCATGAGCACACAGCCTGCTTGGACTCTTGCATTTCTTCTACCTCTTGTCTTTGTACTGATGCTGAGCTGTTTTGATTACTGTGGTTTTGTGATACATTTTAAAATTAGGTAGTTTTACTCCCTCAACTTTGTTCTTTTTCAAAATCGCTTGCATTTCCACATAAATTTTAGGGTTACTCTATCAAAAATTTTTTTGGTGGTTTTTCAAGACAGGGTTTCTCCGTGTATTTTTGGTGCCTGCCCTGGATCTCTCTCTGTAGACCAGGCTGGCCTCAGACTCACAGAGATCCACCTGCCTCTGCCTCCTGAGTGCTGGGATTAAAGGTGTGTGCCACCACTGCCTGGCCACTCTGTCAATTTCTAAATAAAACAAAAACCAGCCTTTCTAGGTCATTGTCGCGGCTGCATTAAACATGCAGATCAATTGGAGAGAGCTGAGATAACGCGGAGTCTGTAGCGTGTGACCGTGAAGTGTGTCTCTCTGCGTGTGTGTTTGGGTTTTCTCCTTTAATTGAGTCTGCCAAGACTGGAGTTTTTGTGTCCACACCTCTTCCTTTTTGCCGATTTATTGCTGTGTGTCTTCTTGTACATGCTGCAGTTGTGAGCAGCTGTGTGTCAATGTTTTGCTTTGGATCTCTGAAGTTTGGGCCAGTGCTGTGGCTGCTCTCTTCTCTAGACTTCTGTTCCCTCGGAACAGCTTCATCTCAGAGCTAAAGAACTAGGGAGTCAGGAGAGTCAGGAGGCCCAAGCCCTGGCACATCTTGATCTGCGCCTGTCTCTCTCCTCATCCTTTGTCTTCTCGTGGGAGGAAGGAGCCTAGTGCGGGGGTGGGAGTGTGGTGGGGGCAGATGAGAGGCCCAGCTGCAGTTAGAGCAGTGGGTAAAATCCAGATGTGCCCAGTTAGCCTGGAGTGTCCAGATGAAGAGACAAGGCTGTCAGATCAGGGGCTTCAGACAGGCAGGATTCAGAGTCACGGGTAGACATCAGGTGGCAGTCAGCCTGCAGGATGCAAAGGACTCAGACAGGGGCTGAGGCTCAGGGGTCAGGATGTGACCTCAGCACTCCGGGCAGGGGAGGGATTGGCTATTGAGTGGGGTGGTGTTTGAGGCCCAGCAGCAGGGAGAGTATTGTTCCAACAAGTTCACTCTCAAGTGTCCACCATGTGCCAGGCACAGAGGCTGGCCAGGAGGTGAGGCAGCCAGATAGAGAACAGAAGAGGCTCGGATGGGACTAAACACTGGCTGGGGTGACTGCAGGGGCCGTCTACTGAGTGCCTTCTGTCTGCGTTGCTCAGTGCTTTACTTCAGTACAGTGAAATGGAGGCCTTAAGAGGTGAAGGTAGGTTTTCTGTTTCCCTGATGTGACACCAGTGGCCAGGCTGACGTTGGGACATCGGGCGTCTCTGGAAGTTGGAAACCAGCTTGTTCACCTGGGGGGACTTCTCTTCTAGCTGGTACCACACATCACTATTCAGTTGTACTACATGGCGTGGGACCCACATCCCCATGCAGGGTGACAGAGCAGCACCACAATCTTGCCAAAAATCAAAACAGTGCTGTGTTGAGTGACTGGGGAGAGGTGGTTAGTACAGGGCTTCTGAATGGGGCCATCAATGTGGCTGACGGATCACCTGCCTAGGGACTTGCGGCATCCTGTCAGGACTCTGCAATCACACCTTCACTATGGTTATCTGGAACCAGGTGGCCTGTTCTTCTTTCATTATCACTGAATCTCAGAAAAGCATGTCGGCTTCTATTACGTAAATGTTGGGTTGCTTTGATCTCTCCGTGAGGCTTGGTGATAAGGCAGGAGAATGCCCTGCAGTAAGAAAGATGAGGTTCCCAGTCACTTGCCCTGGACTCCTGTTACTGCACCGCAGCAGCTCTTAGTGGTTATTCCCATCTGTGGTCTCACAATGTTCCATCCTTCACCTGGCTTGCTCTGGAGACTCATGGGTTCCGGGTATGTGAGGTGGGGAAGTTGAACACTATCCTCCAAGCACAGCAAACACGGTCAACACAAGAGCAATTGGGGATGCTTGCCAAAGATCATCACCCAGGGCTGTTTGACTGTTGACATCCCCTCATAGAAGGAGGGGGCAGGGAGGGTCACTGGATCCTTCCCTGAGCATCCAGCCATTGATACCAGCCAGTTGTATGAATTCTGCCCTAACTGCATGAGTCTCAGGAAGGGGTAGAGTATATGGTCTGGGGATGACCAGGGGAAAGAGGCTCCGTCTATGTAGCTGTGGGAAGCCTTCCCCATGATGGGTTGGCCAACCTTCCAGTGCAGCTTCCTTGGGGTCAGCCACATTCCTGCTTGTAAACCCTCACTCACCTGTGCTTTGTAAGTGAGCTCGATGAGCCCATTGGTTCCCTAGGATGAACTTTGGCGGAAGCGAACTTCGGTTTGTTGTTGAGACCTTATGAGGAAAGGGTGGATGTTGCTTAGACCTCCCTCACCTCTTGGAGAGATTTCTCACAATGGGAGGCCATAGGGACTCTTTGGGGTCCTCATCAGAGAGCCACGGAGTTTGTAGCCGTCATTGATGCCTCCTCCTCCAAGATCCTCCAGCCAGAAGGCACACATCCCCTGTAGTGTGGATCGGTTACCAGCAACGGCACGCCTCTCCTGGCCCCTCCTGGGTGTGGCTCCTAGACTCTGGGTTCGGGGCACCTCAGGTGAGGATAGTTGGCCTTCTCAAGCTGTGGTGTTTCCCTGGGTCCCCCAAATCTGTGTTCAGGTGAGCATCTGATCCATAGCAGCTCAAGAGTTGAGAGAGTCCAGGGCAAAGTGCTGGCTGCTGTGGGGCTGAAGCCAGCCTTCTGTATCACGGCCTGAGCACCTAAATCATTGATGGCCCCATCCCTTCTCTCGGGAGCTGCCCTGACCCTGTTTGTAGATGTAGTCACTATTAGTCCTGCTGACCTAACTCTTGCATCTCTTTGGATGCAGTTCGGTATTTTGTGTCTTGGCAAGAAGAGGAAGATGAATCCTTCCAAGGGACAAAAACATGGAGGGCTTCTCCTTTTGGGAGTCCACTCAGTCCTACTCTGGGAAGGCCTGGGGTGTGCCTTCCCAGGAGTCTGGCAGACTCTCTGTCAGCCTCCTGTCTCTTCCCTCATATTCTCCTCTCTTCTCTGAGTGTAGCAGATCTGGGGGGTGGGGGGCGCCTTCCTTGGCTCTACGCCTGCAGTCAGTGACCACCCCGTCTTATGCGTACCTGAGAGACCATTGTCTCTCTGTTCTTTGTGTCCTGCTGTTCCTTGGAGGAGGAGCCACCGCTGTCTTGGATTTGACTCTTCTTTGAGGAATAATGAGTGAATAGTTGACACTACCATGCTGTGACCCACATGGTGAAGAACAAATTCGTTCTTTCCAGCTGTCAGGGAATCTTTGGTTCTCACATGGCAGTCTAAGTAGGCGGTGGGTGGAGCTGAGGTCATTGGGTCTCTCTGGACATGACAGAGGCTGTGCAGTTATTGTCACCACTTCTTGGCCCTAAGGCCCCTTTGCTCCAGGGCACTTGCTTTACTTGGCCATTTGTCACCATCTGCCACCCAGGAGGACTTGATTAATTGTGACCCTACTGAGTGCTGTTGTGCATGGCCAGCATCCTGCTTCCTGCTACAAAGGACTCCTTGTTGGGCTCCATCCAAGGCTGTGACAGATCAACGTCAAGGGTCTGTCTCCTGGGATCACCCTGGGGTCACGTCTGTACAGGCAGGAGATGGAAACCACTTTGGAAGTTTAAACATGGAAATTTTAATCTGAAGTGGATATTAAACATGGAAGTTTTAATTTGAAGTGGCTAACTGTTACACTAATTAAGGACGTGAATGATGAAGGGTTCAGAGGGAGCAAATCCAGCATGCTCGTGACCACCAAGGCTGAGAGGATGAACAGAGAAGCAGCGAAAACTTCCAGCGATGATACGGACCTTCTTTGGGAAGGCGTGGCCATCCCAGGAACACCCCCCACACACACCAATGGCCCAGAGGCTGCTGCAAGGTTCTTGCAGGGGCAACTCAGGAGACAATGGCCCTATGTGGAAAAGCCTACACTGAAGATCAGATCTGAACCCCGATCCTGCTTCTGGGCTCCTGCCCTTTTTTCCTGCCTCCACCATTGACAGCGTCTGCCACCGAGCTGCTGGCAGAGGGAGCATGGAGACAAAGCCAGGTTTTCATAACCCAGAGCAGATGGAGAGTGGAGTGGTGATAGACTGATCCCTGCAGTGTGGAGGAGAACCCTGGGGCTGGGAAATGCTCTCTGAGAGCCTGGTCTCAGCAAGCCCAGGAGGCTTCTGGGCTCTGTCCTTCCAGGCTGCGTCTTCTCAGCTCAGGGACTTCACCCCTCTGAGTATTAGTTTCTCCATGTGCAAAGGGTGGCTCTGATCCTCACAGGAGAGGTTAAGGATGGGTGGGAGGAGTCAGTCACGGTGTCTGAGCTGTGACATAGGAAGTGAACAGGGGGTAACAATTAGATGAGTGTGGAAATAAACTTGGTGTTTCTGTTGCCTCCTGGCTTTGTGTCTACATCATTGATGACCTCTCA